ATCCAACTCAGCTGCGAATGCCTGCAGATCTAAAGGGCACGATCAGACAGCAACATCCGGGAAAGGTCCTGCAGCCGTTGACACCCCGTGCTGCCCCGCCATGGAAGCGGAGTTAAAAGACACCAGAGAAAATCTGCTCCTAATGCTTGCCGACGGGCCATGGATGGACTTTCCCCTGTCTGATCGCTCAAGCACGCACTCCAGCCATCGGGATGGTCTGCTCATTCCATCCCGACTTGGTGCCCTTTTTTCCCTTCGCCTAGCAGTATGCGCATAACCGCATACAACACGGGGAGGAGTGATTCCTCATTTATGCGCATGGGAAACAAAGAAGAAGAGAAGAGGAGATTGGATTTATACCCCGCCCTTCACTACCCAAAGGTGTCTCAGAGCAGCTTACAAACTCATTTCCCTTCCCCTCCCCGCAACAGACACCCTGTGAGGTAGGTGGGGCTTAGAGAGCTCTGACAGAATCTGCTCTTTTCAAGAACAGCTCTTGTCAGAACTACAGCTTGCCCAAGGTCATCCAGCCAGGTGCAAGTGGAGGAGTGGGGAATCAAACCCCGTTCTCCAGGATGAGAGTCCACGCACTTTGTGTGGCAACACAAACCACTACACCAAAAGGCAACTCCCCCCCCCCCACTTGCTCACATGTGCTGTCTGATCTGTTCTAGGATTTCTCATTCTTGTCTCTATGAGCTTTGGGCTGAAAAAAGGCACTGTTGGTAACAGTGACTTTGAGGTGTGACCTTGGCTCTTGGGCCTGGTGGGCAGTTAGGAGGCTTTACTGGAGTGGCCTAGATTATTTCCTTCACAGCTTTAAAAAAACAGTTAAAAACATGATACAACTTCTGAAGAGAAGATCTTTGGGGCAGATCATCCTCTGCCCTGAGCTGGCCCGAAGAGTCCGGTTCTGCTCTGCAGACTCTTTTCCTTCTTCTGGCATGTCTCCTGCCATGTGCGAACGTAGCTCACAGACAGTACAGGCAATTTTCAGTCAAATTTTAAGAGTAAGATAAAACAAAAACAGAGAAGACAGTCTCAGAGGCATGTAGAACCCATACTGCCAGTGGAAAGCACTGTCAAGTCTCAACAAACTTATGGCAACTTTATAGGGCATTCAGAGGTGGCTGGTTTGCCATTGCTGCCTCCAAGTAGCAACTTTGGACTTCCCTGCTGGTCTTCCATCCAAGAGTCAACCAGGTCTGACCCTCCTTAGCTCCTGGGATCTGATGAGAGCAGGCTAGCCTGGGCCATCACGGTCAGAGCAGAGCCCACACTTGTTGTTGTTCAGTCGCACAGTCGAGTCCGACTCTTCGCGACCCCATGGACCATCTCCCGCCAGGCCTTCCTGTCTTCCGCCGTCTTCTGAAGTTGGCTCAATTTCATGTTCGTTGCATCGATGACACTGTCTAACCATCTCATCCTTTGCCGTCCCCGTCTTCTTTGACCTTCAATCTTTCCCAGCATCAGGGTCTTCTTATCCAGTGAGTGCTCCCTTCTCATTGGGTGGCCAAAGTATTGGAGCTTCAGTTTCATTATCTGGCCTTCCAGGGAACAGTCAGGGTTTATTTCTTTTAGGATTGACTGATTTGATCTCCTTGCAGTCCAAGGGTCTCTCAAGAGTCTTCTCCAGCACCATAGTTCAAAAGAGTTTATTCTTCGGCACTCGGCCTTCCTTATAGTCCAACTCTCGCAGCCATACATGTCTACTGGGAATGCCATTGCTTTGACCACACTACCGATGGCTATTTAAAAATGCGCTTCAAACTCACCCCGTTTGAGGTTCGTCAGAAAAGGAAAGCGTATAAAGACTTGATTTCAGTCCTGTAGATCAATCAAATTTCGTATTCTTGGAACTTTCCTGAGGGTGTTGTGTTTAAATACAGAGATAAAAGGGAGAAAATCGACTCGGTTTTAAAGGCAGATGAATGGATGAAACAGCATTTTGGATCGAAGGAAGAGGAACAACAGGAAGGAGACGGCGGAGCGGGCACCATAGAAGATACGGACGAAGACCAAGGCGCAGCAGGAGGTGTCAGAGAGGCATATGACTTGTGACACAAGGGACCAAAGTAACACTTAAAATAACGGTTCGCAAATGATGAAGATGATGAAAGAGACTCGATGCACACTTGAGAAGCTGGACTAATACTAACATGGACTGACTAATTCTTTAATTCATTGGTTTAAATGAAAAGTTACATTAATACTAACTGAATACTAACTGTTAAGGATCTTCCCTCTTGGGTTTTTAGTTATAGTGTGGGCTTAATTTGCTGTCCTTTTATCCTGCGGTACTTTTCCCCTTCCCTTTTTCTTTTTCTGTTAGATTGTAGGTGTAACAAAAAATTAATAAAGCTACCCTGCCTTCAGGGGATTAAAAAAAAAATGCACTTCAAACTGTGCCTAAAAGACAACAGGGAGCCGATGTTCCCTCTGAACTGTGGAGTCCTGTGAGCAAAAATGCTACTTTGCGAGCTACTGGCATGAAAGCTGTGAGCGAGCGATTTGGCTACTGCATCAATTACTTCGCTCTGGAGCCCTCCTTCCTGAGCGGAGACAAAAATGTGTGAGCCAGAGGCTAAAAGACTGTGAGCTGGCTCACACTGACTCAGCTTAGAGGGAACACTGCAGGGAGCCTGTGCTGAGAGAGCCTGTGAGACGCGGCACCTCTGGCCCTGCCACAGCCAAAGGACTGGATTCAGCCCCTACTGCAATCATTTCAGAGCAGCTACACTAAAGCCGACAATGATGAAACAAAGAAGAGAAGGCAGTCTCTGATCCTACACTAGGTCAACAAGCCCAGTTAAACATGATTCGCCCAGTGAATTTTGATTTTAAGAACAAAAGGGATGTGGCAGGTGAGGAGAAAGAAATTCCGCAACCTGTCAAGGTGTACCCCTTTGCAGTGCATCGCTGGAACTAACCCCCTGTCCCGGGTTCAGCTGGGCAAAAAGGGCCCATGGCTTCATGCAGGCAAGCCACCAAGTATCCTCACCCAGCCATTCCATTTGCTCTTAAAACTGCTCTCTTCCTCTCCATATATGATTGACGTATGCCCAGGTATAAACAAACACCCCTCCCACTGTGGCAGCTTCTGCAGGCAGCGGCTGCAAGACCCAAGTCAAAGGGCAAATGAGGGCTAGATCTGGGTCACCTGATGGACACATGAAGGGGAGGGGAAACAACAGTTCCTGGAATCTCCAAATGGGAGTGATGGTGAGGGCAAGATGAACAGTCACAGCACAAACCCGCACGATCTTCTCAGAATGAGCAATCATTCCCAACACAAACCAGGGAAGCCTCCATCCAAACACCCACCCTCCCGGCCCAGGAGCCAAAGCATCACCTCGTGGCCATTGTTGTCGAGAATACATGAGGAATTTTTTGACAAGTCAAGGATTGCAACATATTCCTCACTCCTGCATAACAAATTTCCCCACAGCTGAATTCTGGATGACAAGTCAACCACCTGCAACGTTTTGTTTGACCCATCTGCTTCCCCTCTTTACACATTTTAGTCATTTAGAAAAGCTTGTGTCCTATTCTACTCTACTGAACACAAAGCAGTTAAGAAAAGGACGTGTACGAGGCATAAATAATAACAATGCGAGAGCAATGTGAACGATTACACTTCCCCATTCCAGCTAACCGCCTCCATATTTAACATTTAAACAAAGAACTGAACTATCCTGACCCTGAAAAGAATAAGGAAGGTCAATGCATTATATCCAGCCAGCCTTTCTGCTGGTAAAAAAGGGAGGAGAGCCATCCTCTGACCACCAAAAAGGGTATGCTTGGGACCCTGGGGGCTGCAATAAGGAGGAGAATTAGGCAAGTCTGAAGGGGAAAGCTGGCTAGATCCAACCCCATGAATAATGTAGTATACATACTCTACATACCTTCCCATGTATGCATCATCATATCTTATCATACAGTACCCTATCCAGTTCTTTTGTGTCTTAATAATGTTCTGAACACTGGAATATCAAACTCCCTTTTTTAAAAACAAAAACAAGAATTTGTATTGTATGTAATTGGATTCTTATACAAATTTCTAGCATGATGCTCTGCAAGAGTTTTTCTGTCCCATGAAGGATGTGATTAAACCAATAGTTTGGTCTTGCACTTTTATGATTAACAGTTCAAAATCATGTTTATAAAAATCAGATGTGCTATTTTAATCAGACTACTTCCCCAGATATTTTTTCTTCAATATTTAGTTCCACTATTTCAGTTTTGGTTTAGTTGATTCTGTAACAGGATAAGCACCCCAAGTTTATGCATTACTCCAAATCTCCCCGTGAAGAGAACAGATTTCTATAGACATATGTACATGAGGCATGGGAGCAAGATCACAGGCACAAAGAATGTATATTCATTATTCTCAACTTTTATTCCTTGAATCTCAGATTCCAGTCTGAAACGTATGGCTAATGATTCAAAATGAGAGTGTGGAAAACCAACACGGGGTCTCGTACCTCTCAGCAGAATTACTGATTTAAAGAAAAAGGAGTTACTTCTAATAATATATTTTCGATCAAGCCTTGTGCTGCAGCCTAAGATCCGATGGGGGGGGGGGGGGGAATCTTTCCAAGGGTTTTCCTCCTAGGGACACTGTGCCCTTCCTAGTAGCAATACATTATGCATCTGTCAATAACAGGCAACACTGGAGTTATTTGTGTCTCTGACATTTGTGTCTCTGTCGACCGCTCCCAAGGAGGTCAAGTCACAGAACTTAGTACAGTTGCCTTAAATGAGTCACATTTCTAATTTTCTCTTTTTCAAACTCATTAATATTTACATGGCTATTATCACACCAAAAACACTTAAGCCTCATTTTCACAGAAGTAAAACACAGCAAGCATCTATTTCATCTACATGAGAACCACAGCTAGAATTCAGCTTTGGTACCTGAGCTAAAACAAAGAAACAAACCAAAACAAACCAAAACAAAAAGGGGGACAATAACACATCCCAAATTAAACTTACAGTACCTTTGATTTTGCCCAAAGTCCTCCCCTTCTGACATTCTGAACTTCTGAAAGAGGGTTAAATCCAAGGAAAATTTGTCAATCTTTCTCTGCCTGGGAAAAAAGCCAGTCTCCCGGTCTCCTTTAGAGGCTCCTGTTAAGTCTCTCTGGCGAAGGGTGTATTTACACACATCATTAAGTGTCTGTTTAACTTGAATGAAGTTCACAGAGTACGGCTTTGATTGGCTCAGCCAGACAGCAAACAGGTCACACCTTGTTCCGAGCACCACCGTGACAGGCTGCTTCACAGCAAATGCTGTCCAGAACCCAACAGTTTCAGGATCACGTGAGCTGGAGCCGCCCAGTCATTAACCTTCATTTTGGAGTCTTTCCTCCTTTTCCTTGGCCGGCTGTGACTGGCTTCTTGCTAGCCTTACTAAGAACCTGAACGGCGGATTACATGCTGTTGAAATAATTAAATATATGAACCCACCCCAAATAAGCTGACAGGAGCCAAGACTTTGCTGGCACTCACTTGTTTTCCCCCTCCACTAGCCGCCAATGATCCCCGGGGAGGTGACCATATCACTAGGGAAAATGAATGGAAGAGTCTACGTATTTTCCAGGTAAACGTGGTTTCCTTCTCGCAACAACAGCACGTGAATGTTATTTCACTCTTCATGTTCTCACTGGCGCCTGCCAAGTGAGGAAAGTCATTTCCTAACTTGGTCACTTCTTTCCATGTGACAGGCAGGCGCAAGATTTGTGTTCTACAGCAGATGGCCAACACATGGTCCTCCCACTGCAGAAGCAGGAGGTAGTTTTGGAAAAAAGAACTGGGCATAGCACGGCTGTGTGATTCATGCTGTTGCTTAGTAAATAAAAGAATCACCCCAGCAGTTTAAATTATTTCATTAGGGGAAAATCATGCAGGAGTCCAGCAGCTTTAAAGACTGAGCACAGTCATTGTTTGTTAAAGCTGGAGTCAAAGTGAACATGAATCGGGAGGCAGTGGAGGTACAACTAACAAATCCTCAGAGGACTCTGATGACGATAAAGGAGCCGCTTCTCCGAAACGCCTCAAAGTTAGACTGACACATGACAAGAGCAAACACAAGAAAACCAAGAAATATGAAAATAATGTGTCGTTTAACTCTGAAAGGTTCTTATACATTTGTTATATGCAGGGCTTTTTTTGTAGAAAAAGCCCAGCAGGAACTCATTAGCATAATAGACCACACCCAACAGCAGGAACTCATTAGCATAATAGACCACACCCAACAGCAGGAACTCATTAGCATAATAGACCACACCCAACAGCAGGAACTCATTAGCATAATAGGCCACACCCAACAGCAGAAACTCATTAAGACTGGCTACATTAGGGGTGTGGCCTAACATGCAAAGGAGTTCCTGCTATTAAAAAGCCCTGGGTTTTGACAACAAACAAGGTAAACAGAATAAGAAGCAAAAGGTGGGTGTGGCTGGATGAGCACACTTCTGGTAACATGGGGGTGTGGCCTAATATGCTAATGAGTTCCTGCTGGGTGTGGCCAACTCGGGAGCCAGCCAGAACTTTGTTCCTATGCGTTCCTGCCCCAAAATAGCCCTGGTTAGATGAGAAACTGGCTTACATCTATTTTGGCTAAATATGCTTGCTTTACTTTGATTCTATATTAATCTTAAACAGTTATATTCCTCTTATATTTTTTAATCTACTTTAAGGTTGGGAAATACAATAAGCTATTTATATAATTATGAAAGATGATCCTTGCTTTAGCTTTGTATTTTAGTCTTAGCGCTTTCTTCCCTTTTCTTGTAGTATGTGTAGCGGAAAAGCAATTAAATTTTTAAAAAACCGAAAAAACCCCAAAAAACAGAATACATAGTATGTCCTGGTACCCATCTTCAAAGCCACCAATATTCTTTTGCAGGCACTCAATAAAGACTATGCATCAACAAATTACTGCAATGCCACCATCCAAATGCTTGTTCACAAATGTCAACTGGGCCAAATCTTAATTATGAGTATCAGCTAAGCAGTTTCTTAAGATTCAAGTTTACCTTGTACATTTTATCCTGTCCTCCCTCCAAGGAGCTCAGAGTGACAAACACTTTTCTCCTTTCCCTATTTTATCCACACAACAACCTTGCGAGGTAGGTTAGGCTGACAGACAATGTGGCTGGCTACACACAAGTGTGGACACACAGGAACCCAGGTTTCCGAGACCTTCCATTGATACTCTGACCATTAAACCCTACTGGCTCACAAAGTATGGAGAATAAAATACCTTGATTGGCACTTAACATGCTCTTTCCCAGTATTGAAAACATAGTTGGAATGTTAGACTAGGATCTGAGAGAGCCAGGTTCTAATCCCCCAGTGTGCCTAGGAAGTTTGCCAAGCCACACACACTCAGCCTAGCCTACCTCACAGGGTTGTTATGAGGATAAAATGGAGAGCCATGCAGTACCAATGTACAATACAAGCCCCTTCCTGTGTGTGGGCATTGCTAGGCGACAACTTTGTCTGCTCTTTTACTGTTCTAAGTATATCTCAGAGCAGCAGTAGAATACTTGGCGCCTTTCACCGTTGAGAGAGAAAGAACAGTGGCATGAATACTGCATTTAGCCCCGACCTGGATAGCCCCAAAAAGCCCGACCTCTCAGATCTGGGAAGCTAAGCAGGGTCATCTGTGGCTAGTACTTGGATGGGAGACCTCCTTGGAATGCCAGCAGTCGGGAGGACAGGGGCAGGCTTTATTCAGCCAACTCTATGAATATCCTCCAGGACCCCAGTAGGGGGGGTCAGCGTGACTTCCAGGTGCAGACACACAGAGAGAGAGAGAGAGAGAGAGAGAGAGAGAGAGAGAGAGAGAGAGAGAGAGAGAGAAAATACAAAAAAATACCAACCTCCCTCCGCACTACATTTAAAGGTTTCAAATAAAGGGAGCATGTGCGATACTGTGTGAGGGTTTTCTAGAGAATATTAGAATATTTTTCAAGGCCCTAAACAGAGTGAGATTTGATTGAGCATGTTCGTTTTGATTTATACAGAAAATGCTTTATTTGGAACATTTGCCTAGAAAATCCAGTTAACCAACATCACCCAGAGGACAAACTCCTCCGCTTCAGACATACTTTTACGTCTTTGGACACATCCATGCTCCACAGCTAAACAACGGAGCACACACTTCCAAAAGGTTATACTTTATTGTCAGTGCTATGGTTCCTAACATGGTCACTGTTAGGAATAACTAGCATAGAACAAGCATATAGTGATATAGGGGTTTCAACTGGTCCCTCCCCCCAACCTGTGGGCCAATCGGCCTGTTTCCCGCGGGCGCGAATGAATAACCGATGACCCAACCGAGCCGAGGCTGGGAAACGAAACTAGTCCCACGGTTAATGAAAGTGGAGACACTACACAGGCCTGAATCCAAGGTCAGAGATAACAAGGGGAGAAGCGAGAGGAAAGGAATGTGGTACCAACTTGTACACAGGTCAGGCAGGCGAACCCTAGGCTAATAAACAATATGGCAGCGTTGCTGACACTCACATACGTACTGCAGACATAGACGGAACAGTTTGCTTCAGACCAACATGGCAACCCAACTGAATCTAATTTTGTCTAGAATTACCACGATATGATAATACACTTGTACAGGATTTAGCCCACTCAGGCCAGTCCAGGCATGAGAGGGAATCCTGTACTTTTTCAGTACATTAAACAACAACCCAAGAGGTAGGCTATACCCTCTCTGGTTTTCAGAACAATTTGCCACCAGAACCTCTTTTCACTAGTCCCTGCTCTCCTGAGGGAAGATTCCAAACCCTCAGTTGGCATCTGGAACTTAACACATTAGCAACTCATTCGCAGAGATGCACTTTTACCAAGGTAGCATGTGTGGTGAGGGTTAGCTACAAGATTTAGCCTTGGAGTTCAGGTACAACAACTGAGACAATTTAGCAATAAGAAGGATTTTTTATTCAGTACAGAGCTTAGCACAGACTACCAGAGATTACAACATAACAAAGGCTAGGGCTGTTTGCCTCAACTAAACATTAATGATTCATAGTTACCAAGTCAGGAACATTCCTCAGTCCGTGATAGTCCAAGGGGCCAAGGGATTTTGAGGAGAAATCCCATCTTTGGCCACCCATGTGCTCCAGTTCACAAAGCAACTCTTTGTCTTCCAAGAGACAGCATTTCAGGTGCAATAAAACAGGCAGCAAGAGCCTCAGAGCTAATAGCACAAGAGACTCGAGAACAAGAAGAGAAGAGCCTCACTCCCATAGGGATCAAAACAATTATACCCCAATTACTAATCATGATAAGCCGTGGCCTTTGGCCAATCAAGAGTAGCAGGGGTGTGTGGCCAATTTTTGGTTGCCATAGCTGCACAGCAGGTGAGTGTATAGATCGGCTAGGAGTTTGGAGACCCCGCCTGCAGTCAGTTGACCCCAAACTCCAGCTACTTCATTGAGTACGTGACTTATCGCATGTGGGCCAGAAAGTGTAGCCATGAGGTCTGGCTTTTGGCATGAAAGTGTGAAAGAATGTGGGTTTATGGCATGGCTATTGAGGCCATTTGGCCTCACCATTTGGCTTGCAACAGGAAACAAGACACAGCATGTTATCAAAAGACATTACAGGAGAAGGCATGTGGATATAGAAAGCAGAAAGCAATTTTTCTATACAACACTATTGAGAAATTCAGCACTGTTAAAATTCAGTGTTGTCAATGTTATCAAGTCCAATCCCTGGTAAGACTGTATGAGACGGTGACTGGTACATTTTCTTTACTACAAAATTTGCCCCCCCCCCCGTTATCTACTTTAAGCTTGCCCTAATTCTCAGCTGGCAAAAAGAAAGCCACATTTGCTAAGGTATGATAGAGACGCACGAGCTTGCAGCTGCCTCTGTTTTTAGTACTGGATATACTTGCAATTTTTCACTATAGAAAATGAAGGAAACAATTGTAAGCAGGTCTACTCAGAAAAAAGTCTCATGTTATTCAACAGAGCTTACTCCTAGGATGGTGTCCTGCAGCCTAACTGTGCAATCCTAAACAGAAGAAAAGAGCAAGAGTCCAGCAGTACCTTAAAGACTAATGCAATTTGTGGCAGGGCAGGAGCTTTCGTGAGTCACGGCTCGCTTCTTCAGATCTAATCCTATGCAAAGATACACACATCTAAGTCCACTGTAGTCACAAGAGTATAACTCTACTAAGCTAAAGGTTCACTTTGCTCGAAAGCTAGTCGAATCCAACTCTAGGAGGTGGTGGTCATCTCAGTTTCCAAGCCAAAGAGCCAGCGCTGTCCGAAGATGTTTCTGTGGTCATGTGCCTGGCATGACTAAACGCCGAGGTGCATGTAATGCTGTTGCCTTCACACCAAAGCGGTACCTATTTATCTACTTGCAATCTCTTGCTTTCAAACTGCTAGGCTGGCAGGACCTGGGGCCAGAGATGGGAGTTCATTCCGTCATGCGGCACTCGGGTCTCGAACTGCCGAACTACTGACCTTTTAGTCTGCAGCTTCAGTGTCTCAACCTCTGAGCCATTGCACAATTAAGCACATATAGTTCTAAGTTTTTTATTCCTTT